TACAAGATCTAGTCTCAGGAGCAACCTTACGACTTTGCCTCTCATATTTCCCATTGGTTGCAGCCCTGAAATGAAATCTAGGTCATGCGTTTTTTTGTCTTGGGATTTGAAGCTAAAGTGAGAGTTTAGCAGAAGATATCATAAATTCTTCCCTGTGGCCACAGAATTATTCTAAGGGGTTGCTACGATTCTAAGGGGTTGCTGGAATAAGCTATGTATTGATCAGGTCTCAGTCACTTCCAAGGCCTCAAAAGGAGTTCTTCCCTAGCCTCTGGGAAGCAGGTATCTGCAAGGAAATCTGTAGGCCTAGCCCCCTAACTGCCTTAGGAGCACGTTGTGGGAGGCGCAGACCAAAGGTGAGTTTACACATCAGTGACTAAAGTTTCCTGCCACTAAGCATAAGAAGTCACTCATGAGCAGCGTCCCTAAACCACAGCTACAGGATGTGGGCACAAGCCCTTGTATAATTGTTGGCCAAGAGCCAATGAGCATTCATCCCTGTGCAAATACTTGGGCTTTTTTTTTGTTGTTAACCTTTGAAAACCACAGGCATTAGTCTCTCTTTCTTCCCCTTGGCATGAGTCATCTTCTTTTCTCCAACTTGGTCTCTTGTGTGTAAAGAATTTTTGAGGAGCTTTTAAGCCTAAATTTAATACTTTTGCCCTCCCCTGTCCTGCCCTACAAAATGCCAGGCAGAGGTAAAGCTGCCTTACAAAATATCTGCTGGCTCTGCCTGCTTCCGCAGCTTTGTTTGGGCTTTTTGATCAGATAGGAAATCAGAGAGTTCTATGAGTGACCTTAGCCTTTAAGACAGGTAATTTCTGGAAATTCCCCCCTAAACAACGGTGACCTATTGTTTTCTCACCTCAGCATTAACCCAGCAACTATGATGCCCTGACTTAGATAATATGCCTTTCCCTGGGAATAGAGATATATGCAAAGAACAGTGGGCCAGAAATAGGAAATTATAAGCTTTAGAATTTAATCCCAGTACCAAAAATCCACCATCTGCTTTTTAAACAATTTCTTTCCAGTTTCCAGACCTTTGCTTCATATTCTGTGAAATGAAAGCATTGGATTGGATGGTTTCTATGCTTCCTTAGCCCCCAGGCTCTGTAAATCGGCTTTCTTAGTAATGTTTCAGCACGGGGACTGGGAGAACAGGTCTCAATGCAAAAAAATCCAAGTCATGCAAACTGGCTTCTCTTTTCTGCCTTAGAGAATGGCCAAAGGTCAGGCTTCCAAAGAGGCCCAGTTGCCCACTTGAAGGTCAGGCTTAGCAGTTAGTTACAGCTCCCCTTCTTGGAAACATTAGAGATTTCATTAACCTTGCCTCTGTACCCAAATGTCCAACATCCTGGTGTGAAAATTCAGACGAAACCCACTCCAGCATTTTGTTTTCTTTTACTGAGAGGAGGTTACAGAGTCTAAATCAACATAAAGAGAATGTTCTAACCATCAGAACTGCCCAAGACATATCAGGAGACCTTGAGCAATCTGTCAATAAAGATGCTCATGCAGTTTTTGAAAGGTGACATATTGGGTATTTTCTAGTGGGATTTCCTGAATGAGATAAAGATCAGATAAACAGGATGACCAACCATAAAATTTTTATGATGATATGCCTGGTACTTCATGCTTCTTGTATATTATCTTATTCCCAACCAAATGTATGATGTCCCTTTTGGAAACTTTATTGGTGTAGCTCAGATGCCAGTCTGAATGAAAAGCCCAAGCATATATTAGGTCCCCTTGTTTGCAGTTTGTATGTCCTGTTGAGCTTAAAACCCAAGTGAGAACACCAAGCGTCAAATGCAAGAATGGTGGGCAGTAGGTCCATAGTGACCAAAAAAATTCTGAGAGATAACTAAATATAGTTGCCTTAAGATGTCCTACGTTCTGCTTCCAAGTCATATCACTCTACAGGCATGTGCTCAATGCTTTTTATTTAATACAATAACTTAACCTTATTTCATTGAGTTCTTCTCACAAGATCTTTATGAAGTAGGGAGAAAAGGTATCATTGTCTCCATTCTACAGAGGAGCAAATTAAATCCTGGGAAAGTTAGGGTAATTTTCTAAGGTCTCATATGGCTGATTCAGTTATTTCCAAAGGAAAAAAAAAATCAAATTGATTTAATTGTCTAACTATTAGCAACAGTTATTTGGAAAATCATAAGGTCTCTAGCCTTAAAGTATTATATCAATCACCCATCTATCAATCCCATACACAATTCTATCTACTTTATCTAGTCCTGACTTGAACACATCAAGGGATGGAGGACTCACTATTCCAAGGAGCAACCCATTCCATTTTTTACATTCCTACCTATAAGAAGTTCTCTCTTATCTTGAACTGCCTTCCAAATTCCTAAATCTTCTCACCCTCTGGTCATAACCTGCTATTGAGGCCCTATGTATCAGTTTATGGGCTATCCACTAGACAGTCTTTGTGAAATGTTAAAAGCATTCCCTTGTTATCTCTGAGCTCATTCTTCTCCATATTAAACAGCTTTGGTATTATTAAATGCTTATCCTATTGTTAGAGGCTGGACCTCAGGGCTGAGAGATACCTCCTTCCTCTCATCTTCTGCACTGGTGATGCTGCACTGTGTCCTTTAGAGAGTCACTTGGAAACACAGTCTGTCCTCGTTTACAAGGGGGGCAAATGTGCAGAAAGAAGTCAATTGTCAGGTTGATCCTTAAATGGTAATGGAAAAGAATGTGCTGGACATTTCAGATGCTTCTGCCAACAAATGCCACTATCTTGAGGCAAATAGAGATTTTCGGGCAGCAGTGTTATAATAATTTGCCAATTATGCCTGCTTTAGAACCATTGCCAAAACAATCCAACGACTTTTCATTCCACTACTGTTGACAGGACAGCTAAGAATTTCAACATTTCCTTTTACAGTCTGAATAGAAGTTCCCTGCCTTGGGGACTGTAACAATATTTGCCATCAATGGGGAGGGGGGAATGGGTGCTGGGAAGGGGAAAGAGGGAAAGGGAGAGAAACACTAATGGAAGTAAACAAAGACAAAGACGAAATAAAATGATGGTTATTCAAGGCGTGGGTTTTGAATGCCTGCATCAAATTGATATTTGTGAATGAAACAGAGGACAAATCTTTGAAATTGAGGAAGTTTTTAGAAGAGAAGACTTTAAAAACACTCTGCACAACCCCTCCCTCCACCAAAAAAAAAAAAAAAAAAAAAGGTACAATTTTTAACATGAATACCAACCAAGGTGTCTCAACTTTGGGTCCTGGGACATGCTTAAAAAGCTGATTATCATAATATTTATGGTGTTGATCATTCAAAGCTTCTTTTCAAAATAAATAGAAAATAAAACTGAAAAATTAAAAAAGAAAAGAAACTTGAAGAGATGAAAACAGTTAAGATATCTCCTGAGTTGTGTTCAAAATGAGACATGTCAGGGAGAAAAAAAAGAGAAAATATGAGATAAAAGAGCAAAGGAAAGAGAATAAGGTAGGACAGTGTTTTTGAAAATGTGCTCCTCTATACCTTCTGGGACCCAGAGACATTCCACAGAAGGTACCTCTGAGACCCAAAAAAGAAGAAGCCAGGAGCATTCCAATATCCCCCTCAATCTCGGTGGCCTCACTTCTATCTGTTTCACATACTGGGCATCCAAAACAGATTTCAATAGACGGAAAGGGTCTGCTATTGGAAAAGAAAATGAAATAAATGTTTGAACAAAAAAAATGCAAAACAAAGTGAGCCATTAAAAGTTCTTGAGCAGGGACTGATAGGGCCAAATTGTGCTTTAGAAATCTGGCAACCAAATGCAGGATGGATTAGAACAGTGTCAGCCTCGGATCAAAGATTCCAAGTAAAAGGCGATGACAATCATCCAGGTGAACAGAATTAAAGACTTGATCGAATAATATATACCTGCGGATATGGAAAGGAAAAGGAGTTCATGAAAAACTTTCAAAGAAGAATGAACTTTAAGGTTGACATCTTGGCATTGGGGTACAATGCTAGGCACACATACATTTGGTCCTCCCATGGTCTGACAGTTTGTGTGCTCCAACATTCATGTGCTGAAATCTTGAGGCCAAATATGATGGTATTAAGAGGTAGGGCCTCTGGGAGGTGATTAGGTCATGAAAGCAGGGCCTTCATGAATAAGACTAATGCCCTTATAAAAGAAGATCAAGAGAACCCTCTTTCCCCTTTACTGTCTGAGGATATAACGAGAAGTCTGCACCTGGGAACAGGGCCCTCACCTGACCAGGCCAGCACCCTGAACTCTGCATTCAAGCCTCCAGAACTGTGGGATATGAATTTCTCTTGTTGATAAGCCACCCAGTCTGTGGTATTTTGTAATAGCAGCCCAAACAGACTAAGAAAGATACTAGATGAAATTATCTGGCAAGGAATTTAGATAAATCAAAACTGATGGATTTCACGAATGATGACTGGGACCCTAAAAATGCCACAGAGAAACCCAGGATTTGGAAGATGCTGAATATGAGTGGCCATTGAATCATATAGATGATCAGCAGACAGAAATACAAAACTAAATCTTGAAGAAGTATCAGGGATGGAAATGGGGATTTGGAAGGCATTCTCATAAAAAGAGTAGCTAAAATAGTATAGTCAGACCCCAGGGAAAGACATCAGAATCAAACGGCTCAAGCTCAAGATCCAAAAAATGCCTACATTTGGAGGACTGAGGAGCAAGAAGCCAGAGACTCTGCCCTCAGTTTATGATCAGGTATTCAATGATAATATTATTTGATAAGCTTAAGAGCATTTATTTTCTGGTTAGGAAATTTGATTGTCCTTATATGAGGTCTGAAGTGTGCATCCATCAGTCTAATCAAGATTATAGATTTCCTAAGATACTAAGTGTTCAATACCATGTAATAGTATTTAAAAGGAACTAAGTCAGTCCAAATATATGGTGGTCTGAAACAATCTTCAATGAAGGTAGATCAGTGGATGGCATACTTATAATGCCAGAAGGAGTCTCAAAAACCAATACTCCCACGGGCAAGGGAATAGCCGAGTTTGTTGCGGTTTCCAATGAATGACATCAGCCCCATGTAGGTTTCAATCAAAATGGGTTCAGTTAACACCATCAGTCCCTTTCTTCTTCCAGATCCAGTGGAATTCTTGTGGGCATTCTGGATAGCTGCAACAAGTTTAGACGTGAACCCAGACAACTGAAGAGGAAAAGAAAGCACAGAGTTAGTAAATGCAGAGTCGGTCCAGACACACTTTCTCCCTAGCCAGTCCTCACAAAAGTTGACCACTGTCCTGGGGCTGTAGCTATCCTTACTTCCTTACATAGATGTCATTTCTCAGAATTGTCAACATTGCTTCTGTTAGTCTTTTAATAAATCGGTCAGTCAATAAATTATGTACATAATGAAATTATCTGCCTCATCTTGTTTGTTTTTCATCCTTCGTAATTTGTACAGCATTTAGTAGTCAGCTTAATAAATATTTGCTGATAGTCTATTATGAATCAGATGTCTGCTGGCTGCTGAAGATTTAAATACAAGTAAGATATAGTCTCTGTGTCCAAAGGAGTAACACTCTAATAATCTAAGAAATGAACTTGGTAAATCATTATACAAAGTTCATGAAAATGAACAGCAGGCACAATAAGATGGTAAAGGAATGCAAAAGAGGGAGAAATCATACATAGGAAGAGGATCAGAAATGACTTCAAAAGAAAACTCTTGAGACAATCATCAAAGGGTTCCTAGAGTTTCAATAGGTGAAATGGAATTAGGGAGGGTTTGGTTGGCAGCTGTTTTTTCTATTCAAACCAGCATCCTTTCAATCATTTCAGATTCTTCTTCCAATACGAGTACCTCTTTATTTCTTTGGAGGACCACCCTCTCCCAGTTTAGCCCAAATAGTATAAGAGGAGTCTACTTTAGCATATGGCTCAGGTCTAAGCAATCAGAGGAGTCCATTTCTCTGGTCACAGAGATTGGTGCAGGTAAGGGCACATGACCAATGTTGTTGCAAAACTGATAGAAAGCCTGGAGGTTTTCGAGGTCATTTTACCACACATAGTGAGAACCTGAGAATGAAGCCAACGAAGGTGGAAGAAGTAAGATACAGAAAGAGATGAATTATTGACAAAATCATTCAAATTATTAGGTCAGCCTATCCTGAACTTTTAAGTTAAATGAGGGAAAAAAAAATCCTTATTTTGGTCAAGCCAAGTTGAATTGGGTTAAGGGGAGGGTAATTCAGGGAGCATTCTGAACAGAGATATAGGGGCGCCTGGGTGGCTCAGTCAGTTAAGCATCCGACTTCGGCTCAGGTCATGAATTCACAGTTCATGGGTTCGAGCCCCGCATCAGGTTCTGTGCTGACAGCTCAGAGCCTGGAGCCTGCTTCTGATTCTGTGTCTCCCTCTCTCTCTGCCCCTCCCCTGCTCACACTGTCTTTCTCTGTCTCTCAAAAATAAATAAATGTAAAGAAATTTTAATTAAAAAAAAAATAAACATATATAAGCAAGGAAATGAAACAAAAGTTCATATGTTTCTATTTCCAACAAGCTCTTTTATATCCATGATCTCTTTCTAACATAAATGTATTAGGTATGTCAAAGAAGGTATCACCATTTCCATATTAGAAAACCAAGGCTCATAGAAGGTAAATGACTTATCCACAGTCACTCCACTTTCTGCAGTATGGTAAAAAAGAACATTAGGAATAAAATCTTATTCACAGTGAGATCCAAATCTGTTTCCTAGGCAACTGGCTCACTAATCTAAATTAAGACTCCTATTAGAGTATATTCCAATATCAATTCAAATTATTAAGCATCCTCTATAAAGTGTCCATTATTCTTCCCATGATTCCAAGAAGAGACCAATCTTTGCTTTAAGAGACTAACATAAGAGTGATCTTTCAGTGAAGAAAGAGAAGCCTGTAGTCTTTCCCCATAACAATTTTCCATAGAGATTTTATCCTGGATACTTAATTTTATACCAAATTGCCCCTGGGCAAACTACTTTTTCATTCCAGTTTCAGTTTCCTTATTAGTAAGGAAAAAACATTTAAAAATTAGAATGTATCGACTATTGGCAGTTGGCAACCCTACGAAAAAAAAAAAATAAAGATAGAAAGAAAGAAAGAAAGAAAGAAAGAAAGAAAGAAAGAAGAAAAAGAAAAAAAGCCATGCAAATAAAACTTCTATAATTTTATACCTGTATGGCATTGTAAATTCATTTCCCCTTTTTGAGTCTTAGTTTCT